TTGCACAAGATGAGAAGAATCTGGACTCCAACTCCAGAGGGAGCAGGGGCAGTAAGCAACCCAGAGCCCGGTAACGTTTAATTGGAGAGCCAGTTTTAGAAGGAGCAATCCGATAGCACTATTGATGCTTATGTAAGAAATTCAAGGCAAGGTTTGGGTGACAAACACATTATTACCAGAAAAGTCATTGTTTATAATGGAAACTTTAAAGGAAAGGTGGCAAGTGTACAAGTGTAGAGACATTTTGGATCTCACAAAGCTTGTCTCTTAATTAGAATTTTTTAAGTTGTTTACATTGCATGGATTTTATCTCCTAAGGCAAGACAAACAGATGACTACATGTGGATGTGTAGCCATCATGGCAAAAGACAGAAGCCCAGTCAGTGGGACCCTTGCTTCTATGGATGAGGGGCTCGGAGAGGAGGAGCATAAGGAGAATTTCCTACCAGAGCCAGTGGGTCTGAAGTTACCGGCAGCATATGACTCAGCACATTTAAACCCAGAAATCAGGTATGACATGATAGTTGCTGAGAACATTGATTATTAGCATTAACAAGCTGGGAAAGAGTCATTTGGTATTTGGCAGATGTTTTCTCAAAATACACATTACAAATGAAATGGAAGACAAGGACACAGTGTGTGACAGAGAAAATAATCGATCAGATTGATTGTAAGGAATCATTCTGTTTGACTTCACATAAGGTCTTCCTTTTGATAGGTTCAGATCCCTTGACATAAAGACTAGGTTCTGTTCTTCATTGAAGTTAAATGTGAACGCATCATTAGAAGAGAAACAGCAGCACTTGTTCCTCAAGTGTTTCGGATCCTTTGTAATAAGGGTGGATGCAGAATTAGTAGGGGCCACAGGTACCACAGCCACAGGGAAAGCTGGCTGCCTCTGGGGCCGTGTGCATGATATCTGACCATGTGGGACGCTGACCTCTCCCGCCCTGGCTCACTCATCTGCCCTATGTCCCCGCGGGGCTGCTGTCAGATTTAAAATCATGAAGAACACAAGTCTGTGTACACATAGATCTCGCCAATGGGTCTGACCGGTGCAGGTGTTCTAGTGAGTAAAATAGGGAAGGTGGCCGTGTCCTGCACTGCCTGTGAGCTGTGTCACCTGCAAAGGAGGACGTGTCCCCTGAGAGTCCCGGCCCCAGCCTGCCTGCTCTTCATTCACGATGAGTTCCTGCTTCTCCAGGATGAGCCGAGTCACCTGAGAAGGGAGAGGATTCTGGACCACAGACTGGCCCAATGGTGGAGGAAGAGCTTTGAATGGATTACTTAAGTCCTGGTGTCACTAGAGTCTCAGTCTGCACGGGTGAGTGGAAGCACGGGTCCTTCTGGTCTCTCTGTCCCGGGACAGCTCTGCTGGTGCAAGTCTCCACACCTCAACAACGTCTTCCTCTTTTCTGGAAGAGCCCTAGACTGGAAATGTGAAGGCCAGGACTGTAGCCTGAGTCAGTGGGAGCATGACTCGGCTTTTCTGAGCTCCTTTGTTCATCTCAATGCAAAGCCGTAGATTTCTTTTGGTGTTGTATAGTTGTTAGCTCTTCCTACTCATTCTGAATTCTGGGACTGAGTGTTTCCTAGTCTTTCCTCCCTACTGAGGACTGAACCCAGAGACTGCACACTGAGCTACTTCCCCAGCCCCTTTTATTTCTGTTTTGAGACAGGGTCTTGCTGAGTCACTAAGTTGTCCAGGCTGAGCTCCAATCTGTGATCCTCCTGCCCCCGCCTCCTAGAGTGCTGGGATTAAAGGTCTGGGCTCCCATGCCGGGCTTGCCCCGCCTTGTTTCCGATCTGGGAGTCTCCGGAGTCGGGACCCCTACATGTCCAGATGTCGGTGCATAAACTCAGACGGCATGGCGGTGCTGGTTCATCGTGTGTTATCATACTCACCCTGACAGCAGTCCCTGGAGCTTTCTGTGCCCATTTTCCTGGAGGAGAAGATGGAGGCTTGGTGATCAGGAGTCCACACTAATGGAATGAGGGTCCCGCTTTGAATTCCAGTCATCTCACCCCACGCCCGGGAGAGATTCGGGGTTCAGAGCAGCCGAGCCTGGCTTCTGTTCGTCTGACCACAAGTTTTATGTAGGCGACAGTGGCGTGTTCGCCAGGCCCCGCAGACACCTACACCACAAGGCAGGCAGCACCGTATCCCGGGAGCGTTGGCCCAGTCCCAGCCTTTGCTGTGGTCCTGCACATTCCATCTGAGTCCCCACATTCTGGGCATTCATGCTGCTGTTTTTGAATCGCTGCTCTCTCTGACTCTTGATCTTTTAGGGCCCCTCCAACATTAGCTGTGCCTGGCACTCCCATCCTTCTGGGGCCGTCCACGGGACTGCAGAGGCCTGTCAGTGTCCTTAGTCCTGCAGTGACACGGGAGGGCACCCTGTGCTTCCCACCTGCTTTCATTCCTTCTGCCACTGCACCCACCACCCTGCCACGAACACACCCCACGCATGCCAGGCACCTCCCAGGCTCCGAGGAATCCATTCCCTGACCGTCTGTCCTCAGGCCGGTCCCTGCAGGAATCCACACCTTCCCAGACTAGGGTGGGGACATCCTGTGATATGTGAGACACAGGCCATGAACTGCTCCCTCCAGACGGAGAACAGACTCTCCTCCCATGCGGAGATGCCAGGTCGTGGTGTGTCACCACGACTCGGCCTCCTTCTCCCAACCTCTTTGAAATCATGCCTAATTGCTTCTCAAATTTCTTCATGAGTTTTTTTAAACCTGAAACTAAATTTACTATTTGGATTTTAGTATTGGGAAGTTCCTTAGGTAGGGTCTAGTTCATGGATTATTTACCTTTGGGAACTCGAGCAGGAGATTTAAAGGTCCAAGCGGGCATGTGGGAGTGACTAGTTCTTTTTCAAGGAGAGAGTCAAAACACGTTGGCAGACTGTTTATAGGTTTTCGTTGCTCCCAGTTTGGCCCTTGACCCCAAGCATGGGACCTGATGGGCCATGACTCCCATGGGGCAGAGACTGGTCCCCGGGGGAGGAGGTGTGCTCTTTGGCTGGGGGCCGGGAAGGAAGGGCAATGCCCTGTCTTCTCCAGAGATGTCCTGGGCCTCACCTGTCCCCTCCTAGAGAGAGAACCCAGCGTCAGGCGGTGCAGTGGTCGCCAGGGATATCAGTAAGGGCGCGAGAAGTGTCTCAACACCTTTTTCTGGGCACCTGTCCCCTTCAGGGGACTCTTCATTGTCTTCAGTTCCCTTATCCTTAGAGATCTCGTGTGTTCTGAGATACTGTTTGGGGATAAGTCCTTCTAAATCATGACAGTTATGTTTTCTAAGCTTCATCTCTGAAATTCTGCTGTATCATTTTCTGTATCATTATCGTATTTATTTATCTCTGGCTTTAGACCCAAACTTAGCAACAGTACAGTATATGAACATGTACCAATTTCCCACAACAAATATAATGATTATGCACTGCAAACATGTAATAAAAAGAAAAATTTAAAAAGAAATAGTTTATAACAAAATATGAATTCTATTACAGAAACCCAACCCTCTGTGAAACAAAAATCTCATAACTGGAGGGGGGACTAATATAAGGATATACAATATGTTTTTTCTATAGTATTCTAGTGGGAGAATGTTTGACTTTTTAAAAATCTTATATCACCTACTATTAATTATTTACAATTTTCATACCAAAGCATTATAAACAAGAAAACACTTTAATAGTGCCAATTACTTAAATTCCTCTTAGCTTTAAAGGAAATCAATTTTTAAATGTCATACATGTGTCACATTCTGCATTTCATTACAGATCTCCCCAAAGTGTGAATTATCACCATAGCAGTCCTTTTTGTATGGCCCGAAACTACAGATATTACTGAACCCTATATCTTCTTTTATGCATATGTACTGATGGGAAACTTCAACTTATATATTGGGTACAACAAGAGATGAACAAGAATAACATAATAAAATAGAACAATTAGAATAATATACTGTAACGAATTTGCATGCAAGCATCGCTACTCTTGTGCCGTGGGGCCATTATTCAGTAAGATAAAGGTTGCTAGGAGACAAGCCTTGTGATACTGCCACTGTCAGTCTGATGATAGACACAGCTGTCAAGTGGCTGCCAGGCAGGTAGGGAATGCATTGGGGATACACTGCACAGGGACAAGTTCCTGCGTCCCCTGGTACCATGGGTCAGGATGGTACAAGATCCCAGCATGCTACTCAGAATGGCCTTTAACTGAAAAACTATGAGTTACCTATTTCTGGAACTTTCCATGGAGCATTTTGAGATTCTGGGTAACAAAATCATAGCTAGAGGGGTTACTTAGGACCGCCTCATAGCCATGGCCACAAATGGCTGCTGCTGTTCACCACACAGGCGTCCTCCTGCAGCTGACAACACGGCCTTTCAGGCTAACAGAGCCACCCAGTGAGAGCGATGATATTAGTCAAGCGTTTGAGCAATAGATTTAGTTATTCTGTGTAAATATAAAAGCTATGTCTGACAACATGGCAGTATTATCTTATATGATGGGAACAATTCCTGATAGTACCAGCAGGTGGCAGCGTATAATACCACAAAAGCACGGAATCTCCTCAGAAAACGTGTGCCAATGCATGGTTCTCTCTTCCTGTGACTGAGTTTTCCCTCTCTCTCCTTAATATACGACTATGCATATGTAACAGATGAAATAACTTTGTACTGTGGCAATGACATATAATACTGAGGTGAATAATAATAGAGCTAAGCTAACCCTTATTGAGGATGCATTCTATACTTTCCACTAGTATTTTCCGGCAGTGTGTAGTCCATGTTATCTAATGTTCCCAATTGTTTTTGTTGATATCGTTGTCTATTTTACAGACAAGGAAAGTGAACACTTGGAATTGTTCAAGTGCCCATAGTAACTAAGGACTTCGGTTTTTGTTTTTGTTTTTTTGTTACCGGGGATCGAACTCGGGTCCTTGCGCTTGCGCAGCAGGCAGCGAAACCACCGAGCTAAATCCCCAGCCCCAAGGACTTAAGATTTTAAGCCAGGCTGTGTGGCTTTTAAAATCTATGGTATGTTGCTTAATTATTGGAAATGTAATGACTGATTAAAATTAAAAGTATTAGCAAAAGCACGGTGCGTTTCCAGGAAAGGCAACACTAAAAGTAATTGCAGAACTCTGGGGACGTAACAGGAGCCATGCAGTAATAAAGCATCGAATGGACGGAACGAAGAGTCATTCAAGTAGGGGACGGTGGGATTTTGAGGCGTCCAGAGTTTGGGGTGAGCAGCCCGGGGGTTGGGAAGGACGGACGGGTGGAGGTACGGCGGTTGCGGTTGGAAGCGGTTGGAAGCGCGGGACACCGGCAGGCGCAGGCCACCCCAGGCGGCGGGCGGAGGGCGTGGCTGTGGAGGGTCACGGGACCTGCGACCTCGCTGCGCGCGGGGAAGTCACGGCGGGGTCTAACTCCGGGCGGTTCCCACGTCCCTGCGCGGTCTGCGCTGGCGCTGCGGGTAGTGATAGATGTCCCGGACATTTGCACCCACACTCGCCTTCGTGTGAACATTAGGAAGGGTAGGAAATTTCAAGATGATCGTTTATGTAAATATCTGTCTATCTATCTATCTGTCATCTATGTCTTGACTCTTTCCAGAACTTAGTTTTTAAGTGTACCTTGAATTAATTTTTCACGGATACACAAAGGCATAAAATCATACCTATTTGCGGGGTCCCACGGGATGCCTCCACCCTCTACACACGCTGCAGGTTGAAGTCTCTTTAAACATTTCTCTCTCCTGAAATGAGTATCGGCTCTTTGTGGTGAAAACATTCCAACCACTTTCTTCTATCTGTTTTGAAGCACAGAACTTTCTTCTTGTCTACAATTTCCTTACGGTGCAAGAGCACACCGGGACCTCCTGCTCCTCCCTCCTGGTCCCTCGGTTCCCTTCGCACCCCACGTTTGTTTCCCATCTCTCCTTACCCTCCCTCCCCAGATGGCAGGAACCGCGACCCCGTCTAAATTAAGTTATTTACTGACGCGCAGCCTGGTGTCCTCTGTCCGTGAGCCCCTGTGCTCACCCACAGCGCTCGCTCGTGTCTGAGTATCTCGGCCACTCCTGTCCTTTCGTGCATCTGTCTAACTTGTTTTCTAAACGTGGTCGCAGCCCCTTACAGTAATGGTTATTAGGCCCTCCCTCGCCCCTTTCAATGGTGGTTACTGCAACAAGGTCAATACTGAGCACAGGAAAGGCAGCAAGGATGGGCAGGAGAATGTCAGCCGGCCAAGAACAAATAGCAGTCAGCTTTTAAAAAGGATATGAATTAAAGCCTCCTCCTGCATTGTTAACTCGCTGCTGTAGATTTTCCCCTGCTACAATGCACATCGCTTTGAGAGACAGGGCCTTGTATTCTGCAATTTTGTGTCCTCAGCGCAGCCTACTAACGCCTGGCAGAGAACTTTCTCCCAGCGGGGACTGGTGCAAAGTCCAGCTCCAGGAGCGACTGGTTTACTCACAAGGCTAAGCCAGGAACCCCTCACCTTTGTCTTTAGCAGCCATGTGCCAAAGAGGGCTGTGCATGCTAAATAGCAGAGATCCCTTTTCTCATTTTGGGAGAAAAGAGTAAAAGGCTACTAACCACAGCCACAAAGAAAGTAGGCAGTGATTTATGTCAGCTGACACCATAGAGAACCAGCTCAGGTGTGCTCTTCACGCTGCTGTGAGAGCTAGGACACAGCGCTCTTTCACCCCAAGACTGGAAAACACTGAGGCCTCCTAATGAAGGAGCGATCTGTCCATGTGCAGCACAGCCTCCGTCCAAGGCAGGAAGAGGAAGCTGAGCCAGGAAGACTGCACCTTGGAGGAAGGCTGGCGGAAGAGACTCCAGCTATTCCCAAGCTTGCTTCCGGGGCAGGGTGGGCCTGGTGAGCACAGAGCCAAGGCCCAAATCCTGCCATCCCGAGGAGATACGTGGCTTTTCACTTCGGTAGATCCAGTGTCCTGTGCTAATAATCAGTAGGCTTACGACCTCTTTTTGTGCTAGCCCTTTGTCACCATGACCCATACCAGACAAAGACCATGCAAAGGAGGAGAAGTTTGTTTGGGCTCTTGGTTTCATGGTGGGATGGGTCCATGGCCTTGGGTGTGAGGTGGGGAGGAACACAGGGCAGGAGAGCGTGGCGGAGCAGAGCCGCCACCCTCATGGTGGAGATGGGAAGGGTCGTGGGGAAGTGGCACTTTTCATGGCATCCCGGGGCTCACTTCCTTCAGCCACCTCAGAAGCCCATTCCTCGCTGGGTTAATCCGCTCGAAGTTTGCATCCTCTGGATCCTTTACCTCCTAGGTCCCAGGTCTGAGCATTGCTGTCCTGGGGATCAAGACCCCAGCTGCTTACCTAAGCACAGCACTTGCTATGATAGATGAAATGAAATGCAAAGAACGCAAACTACCAATCTACACTATTTTTTCCCATTAACTTTATTGGTACATTTTAGGTACACAATTC